AAGAATGGTGTGGAACGAACAATATTTTTTTTTTAAATTCACATAGTAAGTTAGGTTATGCTAATAAAAGTTCTTATAAAATTTAAGGTTTAAAACTTAACATTATATTTAATTAGTTCATTAATTTTATATTTATTAAAAAATTCGTTCATAAAAAATTTTTGTTTTATATTATGATAAGTTGTAATTGTTTTCTGAAATTATTTTTAAAATTTTTAATCAATTCTCGTTTTCTTTAAATATTTTATAAAATCTAAATTTATTTAAAGTTAAACTAATAAAATATTATTCGTTTGAAATGTGTTTTATAAAATTTCACACTTCACTTTAATTATATTTAAAAAGTTGTGTTTAAAATTTTTTGAAGCACATAGAAAAAAAGTCATTTACTTTTATAAAATAGTAATCTCAAGTTTGGAAATATTTACTAAACGTATAAAAAAAAAATATCGAGATCTATAATTGGAAGTCATTTTTAAATGTTAAGAATACATTGCATTTTATTTTGTTTTTTAATGTCTGTACGATTTTTAAAATTTAATTTTTTTATTCGTTGCAGATAAATTTTATTTGTTTTTATTTATGATCAAAATTTTTAATTAAAATTTTGTATTCTTTATTCTGAATTAAAGTTTTTTTACTTATTATATTTTTTTATTTAATTTTTTACATAAATGTTTATTTAACATATTTTATAAATAAATATATATATATAATATTTATATATGTATATAATAAATAAATGTATATAAAATATATAATTATACATATATAATTTGCAAATATAATTTATATTAAAATAATATTTTATATTAAATATTATAATAATTTAAATATTATCTTAAAGGATTATAATATATAAATAATATTACAAACATATACATTTACGTTTATATAAAAGAAAATTTAGTTGCATATATTAATATGAAAATAATTATAATATAAATAATATTTTAATTTATTTTAAAAATAAAAATAATTATTAAAAATACTAATAAAAATTTATATAAATAAATATGATATTTGCATTTTATAGAAAGAAATGATTACTTAATAAACATACAATATATATACGTGTATATTTATTATTGTTAATAAACATTATAAATAAAAATTATATTAAAATATTAAATGTGTCATAATAATCAACCATTAATTATTAAATAAAAAGTTGATAAAAAAAATTATGTTTGTAAAAATTATATTTGTTTCAATAGAATTTTATTGATAATAAATAATAATAATTTTTCGAAATAATTTCAAAAACTACTATGTATAGTAGTATAATATAACATTTGTTCGTATTTATAAAATTTTGAATTGTGTTTCAATTATATTAAAAAAATATAATTATTTTAAATTAAAAAAAAATCTAAAATAAATTATACAAAAAAATGCAATTCATACAAATTATATTTTATATTAATATAAATAACAAAAACACATTTTATATAGTATACAATTTTATGATATATGAAAATTATATTAATTGTTAAAAAAATGTTAAGTATAAAAAATTCATAAAATTTAATTGTATATTAGTTTTGTAAATATTGTTATCGTACTTAATTGTTTAAAAAATTTTTGTTTTTTGCCGGGTTTAAGGTCAATTTTATTTTATATTTATATTATTTTAAACAATCTAAAAAAAGATAAATAAAAACACTAACTTTATTTTTTGTTTTCAAACAAAAATAATAGTTTATTCAAAACAGATATTTCGTCTATATCGTAAGCCATTTTCTATAATTAAAATTTATTTAAAAGTATAATTTAAATTAATATTGTTAGATTATAAATTTAAATTAAAATGAAATTTATATTAAAATAAAATTTAAATTAAAATAAAATTTAAATTAAAATTAAATTTAAATTAAAATAAAATTTATATTAAAATAAAATATATATTAAAATAAAATTTAAATTTTAAATTAAATTAAAATTTATTTATTTTTGTTTGAAATTAACAAATAAAATTTATGTTCTTATTTACATTTCTTTAATACTATTTAAAGTAAAATAAAACAAAATTGAACTAATGTCCGATACAAACAATTTCTTATATAATATTATTAAATTTAATAAATTATTGACTTATATTTATTATATTACTTGAATTATTTTTTATATATTTCTTCTTCTCCTTCTTTCTTGTTTAACCAAGTAATTTGTGAATAAATTTAGTAAATTTGTTCAATTTAGTAACAGTTTAAGCTCGCGTAAAAAACACATTCTATTTAAACAAAATAATTATTTTGAAGTTCTGTGTTTTTTAATTTAACATTAACAATTAAACGCAGCAGTTAAGCCGTTGCGTAGTTCATTTAACACCATTGAACTGATAACCATCTTTTCACAGTTCACCACTAATATCAGCTCCTGACCTTCTGAAGAACTCCAATCCAATGTAATCAAAACTAAACTCTTTGATGACAAAGTTTGTCCCGCAAAATACATCAAATCCGCATTAGCATCCTTGGCTGGTATATGGGCCACATTAATTGTCGTGTAAATGTTTTGTTTTAAGGAAGAAATATCTATTTTATCTTTGCTTAAGGATAATTTGCTCTGATTCTCATTCATGCCACGTAATTTAGTACGTTCTTCTTTGAAATATGTTTCGGTTATTTGTACCGAACGAACCAGTTCACCAATTGGTGGTTGAATGGTAACACGTGACTGTCCAACACTTGATTTTATCACCAATTCTATTGCACGCGTCGAGTCATTAAAATCGACACCAAGTATGCTGACTGCTGTTTGTTGCGGAGATAAGCATTGTATCGGTGCAAAGTTATTTACATCCATACCCCCACACAATACTTTATCCGCTAACTCTATATCATTTATATTATCCGAACTTTGATTAACGAATTGCAATTCAATTGAAACCATTGTTGAAGCATATAAATGTGGTGAACGCGTGAAACGGTAGCTTACCTGTAAACCATTGCCAGATAATTTCTTAAGTAGTTCTTTGTGGTTGAAATCAATAAAAGATGGTCCAACAAGCTCAATATGATTAACAGCATATTGTGACAACGACTCCAACGTTGAACCTAACATTGGAGCACCTTAAAATAAACACCATAAATATTTATATCAAATTTAGAGCATAATTTTTACTAACTTGGTGTTAGAAAACCGCCAAGAGATGGTGTCATTACTGGACCAATTGGTGGCACATCATCTAAATCCAATAATAGATCCAAATTATTTTTAGTATTAGATTTATTTGTTGTGTCGTTTCTCTCTTCTTTAGAACCAGCTGTAGTTTCCTTTGCTTTTTCCTGTGCACGTTCAAATTTACGTTTCTTTTCATTTTCACTTTCCGAATCCGTTTCGCCTTCGCTTACATTATTATTTGCAGATACCTCACTATCGGAATTTGACGACGAGTAAGATGACGACTGACTGTCAGAGGTGCCACCTTCATCTACGTTATTAACAATATTTACCAAAGTAACTGTTGATAACTGCGTTTGTTTATTGTTAAGCTCTTCTGTTTTATTTTCCTTTGATTTAGTTTCGTTCGCATGTTCTGATTCAGAAGATGAGTCTGAATCACTACTGGATTCTGAGCTTGAGGAAGAATCATCACTAGAGTACTCAGATGATTTTTCCGATTCAGAAAAGAAGTTTTTATCAGTTTTCGTCGAAACATTTTTAGTGGAATTAGAGTTTCCTTGAGTAGTTTTTGTGTTTTCCGTGTTGTTAACTGCGTCTTGCATAAAACCATCAATATTACGCACAGACGTATCTGGTGCAGTTGTTGGAAAAGCAGGTAAATCCTTGTATCCAGTAGCACGCATGTTTAAGTAATGTGACAATGAACCCAACTGGAAGTGATGACGGTCACGATATTTGCTCTCTAAAGCAGGAGCAGGCTTCGCTGTTAAAAATACTTTTCGCGCATTTTGCGAAAGTATGGTACTATTACCAGTGGTTGGAAATATAAATTGACGTAAGAAGCGTGCACGATCTCTAACATCATAGTTAGAATCGTAGCGTGCTAAAGTGAAGACGTACTGGCATAACAATGAAGTTTGCTGAGGATTTGTTAGGTAAAGTTTTACACCCAGATTAAGCACTTGCAGTTTCACCACATTTTCCTATTAATAAAAAGAAACAAAGTTAACTTTATTCTAATTTTTATATTTGAAACTTACTTCATCTACGAATGTCTTGGCCATTTTGCGCAGTACATCAGGTGCAATTTTGGGCACCCTTTCATTGTATTCGCCAATTAACCAGATTATAGAAGCTCTAGCTGCAGGTACAGTGATAAAATCAAGCAATTTAGCCATTTGAATAATTATTTCAAAATGTTGTGCTGCTTTCGTTTGAAGCAACTTTTTTATAACCACAACACTTTCAGCAACGACGTGTTCTACATTTAATACAAAAATAATTAATAATTTTAATTTTTTGTAAACTAATTATAAATTTAAATCTCACCATCACGATTTGAGAGCAATTGCACAAGTCCGGTTAAGCATGTTTCTGTTATTTCCTTTATGGAGCCGGCACATCGACCAATCGCTTGTATTGTTGCTGCAACAAAAGAACGATCACTGCTGGAAATGTAAGTTTGAAACTCACGTAAAATTAAAGAAATGCTAGTGGCTGAAGCCAAATTCGTAAGAATTTCCAATTTCAAAAGTTTTATATGTGTCGGATCACTAGTGCGTACAAAGAAGGATTTTATATGTGGTTCAAAAATGGATTTACGCTTGGTTGACATGGAAGCGATGCAGGTTAGTACCACACTTTGCACTTCTTTATGCGAACGTAACAAACGTATTAGCGCCTTCGCAATGAGCTGTACTTCATTACGAGGCGCTACGTGATGATACAACTGCGCCACTGCCATAACAACTGAAGCGTTACGTGATTGTAGCAGTGGTTTTGTTTGACGCAACAGCAAGCGATGATCTAAGTCTACATGATATGAAACGTTGGAAGATGAACTACGACTTTTAGCTTTTAAATTGTTCTTATTTTTTTTATCGGAATCCGATTCATCCGAAGAGATTTCATCATAAAAGTTTTCGGCATCATTAGAGTTTGATTTATAATTCTCATCATCGGATGGTTCGTCTGCATTTGGATTGACGAATTGTGTGCGTGCATAACGTGTTAGCATATTTATAATGATGACTTGGCCCCACTCATCAACATCCACCAGTAAGTTACATAATTTGCGATAATTTTTATGTATCAAATCAACTCGTTCCGGGCACACCTAAATGGAAGAGCATAGCCAAATAATTACTCTTCTTTTTTCCAATAATTTATAATAAATAATTACCTCATCAAAAGCCATAACAGCAGAACCAACAACCAGTGTCGTACGATCAGAAAGCAGTTTTTCTATAACGGTTACCAGCTCATCTTTCTGTTCAGGATCTAATGAATATAGTTTTGGTATGGCATGTGCAGCTGTTTTACGCACATATGGACTCATGTCAGATGCGCTATCACGTATGGCCAGCATTACAATAGGCACAATCATATTCACTCGTATGGAGGATAAAACACGCAGTGCAGACGCACGTATAAGTTGATTTGGATCTTTAAGTGCACGCTGAAATGTTGAAATCGATAGCAATGCCAAATCTTGCTGTTCCTCAGCGTAACGCACCAAATATACGTAAACAAGTTTTTTAACTTCGATATTTTTGGACACTACATTCTTTACAACAGCTGGAAAGAGTTCACTTGCATCACGTCCGCGTGCAACCATGCCTATAATACGTTTCATAGCTTCTAGTTTCAAGCCATCTTTATTACTGTCCAACATCTGTTTCAGATCGTCATGCTTCCGACCATCTGTTTGAAAGAAGGCACCACTCGCTGGATCTGCGCCGAACTCAACGTCAAGTCCCATCTGCGGACGATCTCCATATGAGAATGCATTGCTAACTGCCGATTGCTGTTGCATGTTGAGAGTTTTACTAGCAAGAAGTTTTATGGGGGTACTGGATGATAGCATAGAGCAGTATTTATGCTCAAGTGTATGTATCAAGAAAAATTATTTATGCAGATTTTGACGTCTGATATGAAGTTATCAATCTAAGTCAGATTTTCGCTCTGTCAATTATAACACAATTATTTATGTTATAAAAAATACTAAATTAAAAGTATTTTAGTATTCTTACATTAATATTTATATAGAAAAATATTCTTTGTGCAACTTTTTGTTAGCTTTCACCTGATTTTTTTTTTCTACTTCACATATTGCAGTTCCTGATGACGTTTTGACTTATTCTTCTTCGTGTTCAGTGCAACAACGAGTAGTTCACAATAGACTTTTGTTTGATATATATCGATAATTCATAAATGTATTAATAAACAATTATTTATTTTATTTCTATTTTTTGTTTATTATTTATTGTTTTATCATACTGTATAATAATATCTTTATGTTGAAAAGAAACGTTCACCATATGAATGTACATTTGAAATTGAAATTTACCGTAGAAACAGTATTCCATTAAAAATGGATTAAAATAAATTATATATCAAATAATTTCGATAAATTCATGTCCAGCCTTTTTATTGTCTGTAGTGATTTTATAATATTCATATTGTCTCATTTAGGCACTTGTTCATTTATATTAATGAGTGAACATTCACATTATAATGAGCTCAATTATGCAGCTTATAACTTTTATAAATTTCACTTAATAGTATTATCACACAAATAAATTATATACATACTTGATATGTTGTCATTTATATACATTTCATATATCAATTACATGTGCAATTAATAAAAACAAAGATTTCGTTAAATACCTACTTTCTCATTGCCTTTGTTTACAGCTTAGCTGTTGTTTGTTTACATTTTACATAGAAAACATAAAAGATTTGGTAAATTTTTCAACTTTTGGTAATTTCACGTGTGGAAAATGTATTTATAAGGGTCACATTCGACATTTTTAGCTTTAAATGAGCTGATTTATTTATAATGAGCTCATTTGTATTAATGCTCTTTATATGGTAAATCATCCTCATTAGTTCAATTTATCTAAACAGCCTAACTGAGACAGTTTGAATGTGCTATTATTATATACGCAATAATAGTTCCGTTTCAAAAACTTATTTTCTATATCTAGTATTTGGTTACCAGAACACGATATACAGTTAATTTTATAAGGAAGACAATAATGCAACAATAAAATACATTATAAAGCCGGTTTAAATTATTTTGTAATTCATAACTTAATTCATAATTGGTATGTAATTCATAGTTGGTAAGGGTCTTTTTAATGAAATGGACTCTACTGAAATTATATACTGAACAAACCTGAGTAATAATGATTTTCGTGGGTCGGTATAATTGGAATTGATTTTAGGTATAGGAATATGAAATAGCAAAATTGAAGTGAAAAATACTTGAATTAATAATAAATAATACAGCAGTAATTTGTTTTTGGTGAAAACTTGATATTACTTGCCATCAGCTGCAAAAAGTAAACAAAATTTGATGACATGCAAAAATTTATTTAATTTCAAATATCTTTTGTCACAACCGGTTAAATATATATAAACAAAACTTTATAAATATACCGTACCTTATTGATAGAATTGGTTTAGTTAATCAGAATAAACATTAAGGAGAAATTGCAAATGAAAAACAATAAATGAAATTATTCAGACATAAACTACTGCTCATTTGATATAAAATTTTGATATTTTGAAACAAAACTTTATAAATATTTCCTTTTTTAGAAATTTGTCCTGAAAGCAACTGCTGTTGACCGGATTTTTAAAAAAAGAAAAAATAGCAATTTCATTAAAAACAATATATTATAAATTCCATTAAATATACATAAATTATATACATTAACATACATAGATACTATAAAAAAACTAAACTTAAAACTGATTAAGATATATATTTACATGTTTTGTATATTATATTTAAGGTTTAATTCGTACTTCTTTAACTCAAACTCTTTAAGTTTGACTTCCAATTGATGCCTAAGAGTCATTTCGTGTTTTTTTATATCTAATTCCTTGTGAGCTTGCAATTCCATTTCTTTCAAACGGATTGCATGTGCCCGATCCAGTTCCGCATTTTGCGCTTGGAACTGCAGTTTTTTTTCTTCCATATCGTTCCGTAATTGATGAAATGTAATTTTTGAAGAGCATACACCACTTTCTGGCGATGCAGACCTACGGCTTATTGTATTTGATCTTGATAGCTGAGAATTTACTTGAGTGTCTCCATAAGTGTTTTCATCGTCACCAATTATACTCAGAACACCGGCTTCGGATAGCAGGGTTGGTGAATGTTTAGGATCGTGGAATGATGGCTCAGATTTAATTACAGCAACGTTTGTATTTATTGCGCCGCCATAAATCTTATGAAGAAGATCAAATCTAGGGCAAATTGTTGAGATATAATCTAGAAGTTTAATAACAATCATAACAATTATAATTTAGCTTTGCATTAATCTTCACACCTGTTACTTGTGTTTCAAATTCAGTGGCTAAAAGGTTAGCACCCGTCGTTTTTTTCCACTCTATAGCAGAAATATAACCAGATTTCAAGTGGCGCATTTTGTTCTTTAATACAAGAAAATTTAGCCCATCAAAAGTTTTGCTGTGGCTCATAATTTTTAAATAAAAAGTCTGAGCGGTCGGTTTCTGTCACATACATAATACGAAAATCAAATTATTGTCAATGCAATTAGAAAAATTCTACACACGCTTACTTCGAAGCCCTTCGGTGCATCCCCAATTGCATCTACTATTAGGTTTAGCAACTCCAACACCTGCGCATCTCCCCACTTATATGCTTCACTCACTCGCATACGTTTTGATTTGAAATATTGTTTGCGCTAAAATATTTCTAATAAAAATTTTTGTTATATTTAAAATTACTTTTAATACTCACTCCTCTTTCCATTTTCAAGAAATGAAAGGTATTAGTCTATACACCCAACAAAATTTAACTTCGAACCCGTGATTATGATAAAATATGCATTCACACGGCATATTTGCCAATTACAAATAGCACTTAAATGTAAATGCTGAAAGTTAAGCCAAGAATGAAGTTTTGATATGAAATTTCGTAGAAACAAATTTCAAAGTGCTGCCATATCACAAAAAAGAATTACGAAAAACAAGTGTAAGTAACTACACAGTAATGAAAATTTTATAAGATCTCAGCTACATAGGTTAGAAAATAAAACTTTTATTTATAACACTAAAACTAAATAATTTTAGTTTAACATGATTTATCTGTGCTGTTTAAATAGTATGACATATTTTGTTTTAAATCGGACTATAGGTGTTGTTATATACTTTATTGATTAAAAATATTATATACCTTACAATTTAATACGGCATTTACTCTGGCCGAAAATGACTCATTTTGGTCAAAAATCGAAAATGAGAAACCAATGGCTCATTCTTGCATATAAAATTTTAAGAGCGAATGAGCCATTCCATCATATTCTGTATGAATGCGTCCCAACGACATTCGTATGCGTACCCTCTTTTTGACATATTTACAAAAAAAGGTAAATAAATGTTTGGTGGTTGCATTTTCTTGAAAACGATGCACCTTTTTTTAGAACTTCTACTTCCCAAAAAGTAATTAATCGAAGTTAAAAATATTGTTACGTTTACTCCAACGCTTCGTTCGATAACACTGGATCCTGATAAGTGAATAATATTAAACTTGTATTAATTATAACCGTTATTTATATTCTGAAAAACACACAACTTTATTGCTTAAAATAATCAACTTCCGTATTCTCCTAAAATTAACCAACTATTAAAAACTTATTTACTAACTAACTGACATAATTCAAAATTATCTCAGTTAACTTAAATCGAATTGTATCTTCGCAACATTGCCCTCCACCTAAACTTGTTCGTCCCGAACAAGTGTCACTATATCTTCATCACAACGCGCCAACCGTTCCAAATGAACTACTTTCATCTTATTCTCATTATTTGTTATGTCCGAAACGAACAAGACATCTCTGACATCAGCATTAAATTCACTACCCGTAGCCAATACGTCATCTGTGGTATCCTCATGAAACAAGACATTTACATCAATTGTCACGTTCTTATCATCTGTGAGGTTGGCATCAACGTTTAACGGTATATCTTTATAAGACAACTTATTCGCGACCAACAAGTCCTCTGCGGTCTCCGCATCATATTTGATTTCCTGATTAATCCTGAACGGATGCACCAAAGTTCGTGCAAGTACGATATTATCGACTCCGACATTTTCCATGGCTTCTACAATCCAGCATCTGCTCGTCCTTTTATTCGCGTCTAGTGTTCCCCATACAATCGCTTCTGAATTTGCCGGTATTCGTCGTCGTCGATTCAATCGAACCTGTCTCATCCTATCGCAATGCTCACTGCCAGTATTCAATGGACATTCCATTACCGCGCTCCGTAGGATACATTGTCCTAAGTCCAACGTAATTCCATGGGCAATCATAAAATCTACTTCAAATGGAATATCCTCAACATATATAACATATGGGGATTCTTGGTCGTCCAAGCAGATGTTAATTTCAACTGATTCAGCTATACCAAAGCCGATTAACACAAAATCATAACTATATAAACAGAAATAGCCTTTCCTCCTTTTCTTTCTTCTCTTTTTTCTGTTACTTTTTTCCCTATTCATTATTTGAATCAGTCTTCTTCTCCCTCTTATCTTATTTCTTGTTTTCTCTTTTATCCTTCTTTCTTTTCTTCTCTTTCCTCTATTTCTTTTTACCTCCTTTCTTGTCTTCTTTTTTGTCTTTCTTCCTGCCTTCATTTCTGTCTTTTCTTTTGCCTTCCTTCTTGTCTTTCTTCCTGCCACTCCAGTTTCCATTTTCCGTACTTTTGCTGTAAAGCAACACATTATACCGGCAGCCTCGTACGTTAACGCACTGCCAACTGTTTCAGCGTAAGTTAGCTTTGGAAACATTACCACCTGCCGTCTGGTTTCTGGATCACGTATGCCATCAATAAAAACATCAATTTTATTTTTTTTAATGAAGTCACTAGAACTGCCAATATACGCTAAATTGCATAAACGTTCGATATCCGCGGAATATTCCTGAAGACTCTCGCCAAGCCGTTGTACTCTTGCCTTCAGTTCTACTCTGCGTAGCGGTGACATAAAATCGCTGCCATACCGACGCTTTAATAAGCCAATTAACTCATAGTAATTCCTACGTGCCTTATCAGGAATCTGTTTTAGCACCTCTGCCGCGCTGCCCTTTAATGCCACAATCAGCGCTGCCGTTTTCTCATCTTCACCCCAACGATTTGCAACAGCAGTAGTCTCGAACTGTAACTGGAAAACTTCAAACATCGCGGTTCCACCAAACACCGGTGGTTTTAATTTTACTTCCCCAGTCCGGCGAACACTCGCTAACGAATGACGATTCGACGACAAATCATCCAATCGATTTTCTAACTGGTACACCTCATTAAAGACTTGAATATTCTGGTTTGTTTCATCAACCCTTTTCGACAACTTTTCTTGCGCCTCTGCTGTTATCCCGACAAGTTGCCACAACTCTTGTTTTAAATCTTTGAATTCACAGAAAATCTGCTCTGCGTTTTTCTTAAGCTCAGTGGAAGTCTGCTCTGCATGTTCCTTCATCTGCTGCATCATCTTCATCATAAGCTCCATCATTTCACTATTACCCACCTGTTTAACTTCTCCCGCTACAATTATCTCTTCAGGGAATTCTTCCACTTCCGCATTTATACCGCTCGCCTCTAAAGCCTCACGCAGCCTTACTTGCAACTCCGTCTTAACACCACCTGTGCTAAGCCCCAGCTTCTCCAGTTGCCGCTTTAATTGCACTACGGTTAACTGTCCAAGCTTAACCATTTTATTTATCAGGATCCCACTTCTGACACCAATGTTACGTTTATTCTAACGCTTCGTTCGATAACACTGGATCCTGATAAGTGAATAATGTTAAACTTGTATTAATTATAACCGTTATTT